TCACGTTTGCTGATTTCTCTTAAGATAGTAAGAGGCTACACAAATTCCATGCCTGGTGCACATAATCTGTGTGGCATTTTTCTACCATTGTGGATTTACAGCACACAGCACGCATTTAGGCTTTAAAGCAAGGCAGTCTGAGTCTACAGGCAAATTGCTAGTTTAAATTACATCTACGCTTAAAAAGAAATACAGTGTCAAAATAACTGAGCACAGAACATAGGATTTAGGAGGATTGGGCTATTCAGCCCTTCAAGCATGGTCTGCTGTTCAACAGGTTACGGCTAACCTGATGGTGACTGTCTCATTCCATTTGCCTGTCTGACCTCCATAACACTGGACTCTCTGGTCTAACTCATTCTTGAATAAATTCAACAATCCAGCGAGTTCTCAGTGCGGAGGAGAAAGCGAGAGCCCAGCTATTCAAGATGGCACACTGGTACGGTAGGCATTGTCGGAGCCAGGCTGGCAGCATCTCTTTTTCCTTTCTTTCCGTCGTTTTTTCTCTTTCTTTTCTTGCTTCCCCGACTTCTTTGCATGTGTGTGGTGGTGAGGGGAGAAAGAGAGAGAGGAGGCGGTGGCCAGAGCCATGTCTGCGCAGACACCACTGAAATACAGGGCTACGAAAATGAATTTAGTGGTCTGTAAGTCTTTGAAAGCACTCAAACCTTTTGCATTACACAGCACAGGGCAACCATCTTCTCACATTTGCTAGCGTGATTTGTATTAATGCAACAGTTAAGCACAAGAACGAATCATCAAGACAGTAATTGAGACCATGAGAATTTTCAGGCACTGTAATTTAAGTAACATTAAATTTCATTTAGATAAAGGCAATAGCACTGCAGCTAACTGAAAACTAAGGTGTAGCAAATTACTTGCAAATTTAGCCCACTATCCTCATGGCCCAGCCTTCAAATATTACCACAGCACAACTCTTGAATTCATCAAGACATGTGTTAGTACTCTGGTGTTATATCCCTTCTTTGATTCATGTAATAGTTACAAAAGAAGTACAAAATAGGTACATTTTACAACTATTCAATAATGAACTAAATCACACTTTATCAAAGAAAATGTGTCACTTAGTGGATTTTTAAGACAAATCAGCTCCAGTAAGCTGACACTGAACATCCAACTGAAGGATTACCATTATTAATAAATATAGGACACTGAATTTGCATATTTAGCCATCTATAATTGAATACTGACATTATAAACGATACGTAGAACATAGGACAATACAGCATAGTACAGGCCCTTCGAACTTTTACCCAAAACCTAAGGTCTATCTAACCTCCACCCCTACCTTATACTATCATCCATATGCCTATCTAATAGCTGCTTAAATGCCCCGAATGAGGCCGACTCCACTACCCTCTCTGGCCATACATTCCACACCCCTACCACTCTCTTGAGGAAAGAAGTAAAAAAGTGTTTCTCAAATTGATTCAAAATTACCTACAAGTATTTTGCTTTGAAAAAGAAAGGGCTCTTGACTAAAATACTTTCACATCAAAATGCTCACTGTAAGCCATATCACAGCACTATCATTAAATAAAAACCAAAAGAACTGTGGATGCTGTAAATCAGGAACAAAAACAAAATTGCTGGAAAAGTTCAGCAGGTCTGGCAGCATCTGTGAAGGAGAAAACAGACCCTTCCTCAGAACTGCACTATCATTATTCACCTAGATGACGAAAATTCACACAAAAATTGAAACTTATGATTGAACATTTCTGACACTAAAGCATATGTCTGCGTCCCATAAACAGAAGTAAAGATATCAAATGATTAATTTTTATCCGATTCAAAAATTCTACTACTGATAAATATGCATTCAGATTTCATTTGCGATGTTTGGGTATAAAAGGCAGGGAACCAAGCAATATAAATTCATCCATTTATCGCAGAAATTCACCTCGATTGGCACATTTTGCAATGAAATTGCTAATATTACAATTCAACCAATAATACACAATAAAAACAATTAAATTAGATGCAGAGTACCACTCTTATAACTGGGCTTTTGTTTGTGGACAAATTGAAATGTCATTGCTTATTCCTGACGACTTGCTGTTTGATTTTAAATTCCCAGACTTTATGTTTTCGGCAGGATATATACCAATTAGAGAGAGGAATTGTGTGCAATCTGACTCGCTGAGTATTCCCAGCATTTGTTTTGTAAAGAACACGTTTTTTATTTCTCCTAACTTTTGAACAGGGAAAGGACTGTTCGACAGCAAAGAAATAGCTGTACTTTTTTTAAAGAAGCAAGTCATTGAAACTGCTTTCTGAAGAAGGGTCTCAGCCCGAAACGCCAGCTTTCCTGCTCCTCTGATGCTGCTTGGCCTGCTGTGTTCATCCAGCTCCACACCTTGTTATCTCATTGAAACTCTGCTGTGTTTACAATGCTGCTTTGACCAAGCTTGAAGGAAGAGGTACAGATTCCCAGGACTGTGTACAATGTGAGCTTTGACTGGCAAGAGGTTGTTGATTGGTTTGTGAAATTATGATCAGTTGTGGATGCCGAAGGCCATCAACCTGACAACTTTCTGACTGGCTCTTGGGTAGCTGAACAGCTTGTTGGTATGAGTGATACTTGCAGAAGCCTATTGATAGGGCAGGTGGTGTGCTTCTCTCACCAGCAAAATTTTTAAACTCCTAACAAAGTCCTAACAGAAAGATTTGGAAAAAAAAATTCCATCGAGTCCCAATGACAAGTGCTATTAAACCGATTCCACAGTCATTTTTGCCCTTCACCCATAACACCAATTTCTTTCGTCTGTGTGTGGAGTGAATTTTTCGGAGGTTGTTAGGAGTTTTAACTAGCAGAGAATTCAACAGTTCATTTCAGTTTTCTGTGGTGAGCATCTATTTCTTCTGATATATCAGAATTCAAAGATGTTAACAACTTTTAATATCACTCCACAAATAATGTCTATTCATCCATTAACCCATTAATTGGTGGCTATAATACTCACTGCAGATTTCCATGCACTAGCCAGCCCCCATTCAAA